TATATATATATTAATTATTGGATCGGAGGCTTGCTGCGGCGTGCAACCCGATCCATATAAAATATAATCAATATCATATGCTGCGGGGTGCAACCAGATCCCAAAATGTCACTCTCACTCAGGCCCTCGGCCTCACTCAGTCATCAATCCCTCCAGTCTCACTCACGGGCTCACAATGCCATGAAACTAGCCCGACAACAATGATATGATGTATCAATAAACAACATCGGAAACTGAGATATGATATAAATGCATGAATATGAATGAATACAATATATCAATGAAATCTATGAGATGACAGCAAGAAACGACCACTATGGATCCTAACAATATCAGCATAAAGCCTAAACATGATATTTAGCATGATTGACAGCTTAACTACTTTATCACATGGTGATAACACCGATATCAACAAAATAGGGCCACTATACAGTGCCATGGAAACAACGGAGTCATAATTCATAGGGTGCACGCCCACACGCCCGTCACCTAGCATGTGCGTCACCTCAATACCAATCACATAATATGTATTTTGGGGTTTCATACCCTCAGCACTAAGATTATAAGAGTTACTTACCTCGAACAAGCCCATACCAATGCCGAGCAAGCCAAACGATGCTCCAAAATACCATCCCGCGCGTTTCGACCTCCGAACGGCTCGAAACTAACCAAAAATAACTCAAATACATCAAACAATGCTAAAGGAACCAATCCCGATCGAAAAAGATCAAATCTTGAATCAAAATCCCAAAATCGGCCAAAAGTCCAACTCGACCCCGCACCTCGGAACCCGACAAAATTTACAAAATCCAACAACCCATTCAATTACTAGTCCAACCATACTAGTTTCACTCAAATCCGACCCTAATTCGATGTTCAAAACTCAAAAATTCATATTATGAAACTTTAGGCCAAAACCCCCAATTTCCTCTTTAAAATTCATCAACCAAAACTAAAATCGAAGATAGATTCATGGAATATAACAAAAACCGAGTAGAGAACACTTACCCCAATTCATATGATGAAAATTGCTTCAAGAATCGCCTCAATCCGAGCTCCATAGCTCCCAAAATGTAAAAATGGTCGAAACCCTCGAAATAGAGTACTTTATAATAACTGAGCGAATCAATGCATCGCGATTGCGGAAATACCTTCGCGATCGCGAAGAAGAAAATGCACTGCCCCTGAAAATACACTACGCGATCGCGGAATAAGCTATGCGATCTCGAAGCACAAACTGCTCAGTCTCAAAAAGAACCTACGCGAACGCAGCCCCAAGCTCACGAACGCGATGAAGAAGCCCTGCCCAGCTCAGCTCTACAATGCGAACGCGTGCACACCTACGCGAACGCGAACAGTCTTCAACACAAAGCTACGCTTCTGGCCAATCGCGACCGTGAATAAGAAATAGGCCAGCTCCATTTCCCTTTACGCGATCACATCAACTGATCCGCGATCGCGAAGAACAATCCACGCACCAGAAAACCAGAACACACCAACAAGGCCAAAATGGAGGAAAATAGTCCGAACACAATCCGAAACATGTTCGAGCCCCTCGGGACCCTGTCAGAATATACCAACAAGTCCAACAACATAACAAGGACCTACTTGAGGCCTCAAAACACACAAAATAACATCAGAACGATGAATCATACCTCAATATGGATTCAATGAACTTTGAAACTTCAACTTCCACAACCGATGCCGAAACCTACCAAATCACGTCCGATTGACCTCAAATTTTGCACAAAAGTCACATTCGACATTACAGACCTGTTCCAGCTTCCAAAATCGAAATCCGACCCTGATATCAAAAAGTACACTCTCGGTCAAACTTTCCAAAATTTCAACTTTTGCCATTTCGAGCCAAATTCAACCACTGACCTCCAAATCACAATCCGGACGCGCTCCTAAGTTCAAAATCACCCAACGGAGCTAACAGAACCATCAAAATTCCAATCTGAGGTCAAATGCTAAAAAGTCAAACTTGGTCAACTCTCCCGATTTAAAGCTCCAACAATGAAATCCATTCTTCCAATTCGATTCCGAAATACCTGAAAATCAAAACTGACAATTTACACAAGTCAAAATACATCATACGGATCTACTCACACCCATAAACTACCAAGCGAAGTGCAAATGCTCAAAATGACTGGTCGGGTCGTTACAACTTCAACATTTAGCAAAGTAGCACATAACAAACACATATTGGGAGAGTTAGGGGGAGGAACAAGTTTGCAAAGTTTGACAGAAATTAACACTAACATGTTGAGACTTAAGAAGTCCAATTTAGGCTAAGTATACATCTTAGCATCATAAGACAAATATGTTAATTCTCATTAGAAGGCAAGGCAGCATTGAAACGCGTATTATGACAGACCAAGTAATCACTGAAGGAACAGGGAATCAAGACATACTAGAAGGCATATTAGCAAGGAAGCAAGATCATAGTTGAGGCAAAACAGAATATTTATCTTAAAATCCTAAGTGATGCTAGGGATCAAGATAGCAAGGAAACATGTTTAGAGTAAACCTTAAAGTAATGTTCCATATAGTTGTGGCTAGTACACAAAGAACAGTCAATCAGACACAAGACTCAGTACTGAATGATTCATTCAAAGTAGAGGGAGGTTTCCATAGAGTTGTAGTACTATCCAAAGCAATGTATGAAGAAATTCTATAACTAACAACATATAGTCACAACAGTCAGATTCATATCAAAATAGGCACACATTGAAGCTCAAAACTGAAATATATTCAGATGTTAGAGGTACAGAACTGATTCCAGAAGAAAATAAAGAACCAACATAAAAGTGCAGACCATAATGAAGAACACATACTAGCCTAACACAAACTAAGGACAAAGCAGTAAACTATCTCATGCATTCAACTATCATAGGATGACAAAGGAGTATTGAGCATTATCATAATAGTGCAATATCAGGAATTCACAACTAAATCATACTCATATAATTCAAACACATATAAGTATGCAGAAGGAAAGAAAGAAAATTAACATTGCAAGGGTTAAAAGCACTAACCAGTAGCAAAATTATACGAGCAAAAGAATAGTAAAGAGCTTAATAGCAAGAACCCCAGATCTCCGATGCTTCAGAGTTCACAAGAGCCTCGAGAAGGGCTCCGAGCAGTGCTTGCACCGGAGGAGGTCGTTTAATGGCCTTGGCTTTCAGCCGGCCCAGAATTTAATAGTTTTACAAAATAGTCGAGTGTAACAGAGTGAGTGAGTAAGTGAAAGAGGAAAATAATGAGAATAATAGCAGTGATTGGGTTCGTCAAAGGGGATTATGGGAGGGGTTTATATAGTAGTAGAAATTGAACAAACAAACAAGAAATATAATCAATCATACACAAAATAAGGAAAGAAGAGCATGCAGAATCGATTAGAATCAATTTAGGAGAAAATTAGGCAAACCCTAGTTTGACCGGAATCACAGACTGGCCGAAGATCTTGTTAAATCGGGCCTGTGTAATCTTGCCATAGACGTATATGGACGGAAAACCGTCCCAATATTACTGTATAGGTCCAATCCCTTTTGATTTGGGAGACTGATACTTGCCAAAATCGGGCAAGTACCAAGTAATACCATGTTTATGCAAGTAACAACGATATAATCCCAAAAAGATAAGCAAATCAGTGTAAGAATCCATGGATGGATTAGATTAGGAAAAGAACTGGAGGTGGCAACTAGGGTTTGTGAAGAGAGGAGAAGGTTCGGGAGGATTTGGGGGCGGCGGACGGGTGAACTAAGGGTTAGGGTTTGGGTGAGGTTAATTTAAAAGGAGAGGATGAATGAGGGTCGTTGATCTTGAAAGATCAACGGCCAGAATTAAAAATTTGAGCGGGGCGGGTCGTGGAGATGGGTGCCGAACGGGTTTTAGATTAATGGGTCATTTGATTTGGGCTGGGACTATTGAGCTAAGGTACTAGGCCTTTTGGTCCGAAAATTGGCTTTAAAAACTTGGGTCAGCTCTTAAGTACAATCAATTTATTAAAAATAAATTTAAAAAATGGCTAGTTAATAAATAAAAAAATATTTTTCATGCACTAAAATAATTTAAAATAATTATTTAGCATTGTAAAAATATAAAATACTATTTTAACACAAATAGTATAAATAAGGAGTCTTTGTATATGAATATAAGCTATTATTGCAAAATTAAATAAATAGCTTAAAAATGTAGACATAATTATATGAAATGAAGTGAAAAAAAATTATGAAACATGTATGAGGATGCAAAAATAGTAATTTGGATGATTAAGTCATCACAAATAATTTAAAGGGATAATTATTAAATTTTTATGTAATTTAATGCAAGAAAAAATTAATTTGAAAGCTCTAAAATTATGGAATATTATAAAAAGTGCTCGTGTAAATCTTGTAAATTAAATAAGAAAGCATATATATATTTAAAAAAATATAAGGGCAAAATTGGGTATCAACAAACACCCCTTGCCATACTTTGTACAATCATCAAGGAATTCACAAATACTTGCAATTAGTCTTTTATTCTTATTTATCTACTTGATTGAAGATTCTTACTCTCAATTCTTGGAAGGAAGCTACAACAATCAATAAGATTTCCTTTCCTTTACTAATTGAATATTCTTATTCTTTTATATTTTTAAAAGTGAAGTAAAATTGGTTATTAGGAACCAGATTTATTTCAATATTTGCTTTCACCACAAAAACTGTTTTTTGGTTAAACAATGATGCCAATGCATTAAAAGTGGGGTCCACAAATTCTGCCATTAGTCGCAGGGGTATTTTTAGTCCTAGAAATAGTGTTGTGTGCATTTTTGACCAATAAGTGGACGGAGCGTAAAAGTCATTTATCAAACGATTGGGGTATTTTTAGCCCTTTTTCGTTTTAGTCAGCCTCTACATTTTTTCTGCTTTCCTCTGTAATGCTCTCTCAACTTGCCTTTTCTGCAGCCCACTGGGCCATTAAATTCATGAAAACCTCCCTTGTTTTCAACCTCTACGTCCCAAAATGATATAATAGAAACGCTGAACAAATTAAAGAGATTACTCTATTTATTACAGACATCAGATGTCTAGTTGATTTAATATTAACATGCTTGGGCATATTGACAGTTCCAAATGAGGGTTCGGGAGTTCTGATAGAATCCAAAGTAGCAGAATCGAAATTTATATAAGTGCAAATAACAAGTGTAGATTGAATTATATATACATTTTAGAACCACACTTAAACTCAGGATTTCCAGCGTCTAAATTCTGGATCCTCAGTTGCAATTTGGCGCAAATCAATTTACCTCATTATGCAATACGGTGAATGAATACGAAACATGAACTACTCGAAATACTAATGAACATCAAAACCGTGTGATGAGATCCAAAAACAATATAAAGTTCTAGAGATATATTACAGTTACAGTATCAAATATTGCTTGATCAAAACTAAGCTCTCCTTGGAATGTTAAACTGGATAATTTCTTTAGGACTTGACAATGCATGGCTTAGCAATTCTATAAATTGATCATTTTTCATTTGTTTTTGTTAGGATCGGGAACTCGGATAGTGCGAAATATAGCCAAACAACGGTATAATGGTAATAACAAAGACAATAAAAGTTGATAACAACGACAATTAAAGTAGATACAAATTTAACGTTATTCGGTCAAAGTGACCTACGTCCACAAGCGGAGAGGGGCAATTTACTATAACAATAAGAGTACAAAAGAGAGTACAAAATTAGAGTAAATACTCTAATTAATCCCAAATACCCTAAGGGAATAACCCCACAAGATCACTCCAAAGAAAGAGTTCACACAAGTGCTTCCCAACACTAACTCTCATACAAAACACTCTTAATAAAGGAAAAAAAAGGAAGAAACAAGAAATGAAGACTCAAGTCTTGTTGGTGTGTTTCCAAATGAGTAGAGAGTCCTCACTATATAGGAAGAGAAGAAAGAAATGTTTGGCCAACAATTGGCTACAACCTCTCAAAATACAAGGCCATTTATTTGGCCAACAAGGCCTTAAATAAAAGGCTCCAAATATGCCAACAAGGCTCACAAGTAAAAAGCCTAAAAATAAGGCCACCTTTTACAAATCTCCACCTTGGCCTAATTTTGGGTAATATAGTAAATTTGCTTCACCTTCTCCGCAAAAGCCCCAATGGGCATATGTCAAAATTTAATGCCATCAAAATCAGACAAGTTGTCTAATACCAAAACTGCAGTAAGGCCTATAACAATGGAGCCCAATAAAGTATACAACGAACCAGATCTGTGTGTTTTCATGATCACAAGAGCATCTTGAAAAACTTTTAAAACTCCACCTTCACTAGTGAATTTGCACCCAAGGGATTCTAAAGTGCCCAAAGATATGAGATTTTTCTTCAACTCAGGAATATATCTAACATCAGCGAGAGTTCTCACCAAATCATCGTGCATTCTGAACCGAATTGTATCTTTGCCAATAACGTTACAAGTAACATTGTTACCCAGTTGGACAACTCCACCTGCAACTGAATCATATGTAGAAAACAAGTCCCTGCTAGGACACATATGATATGAACAACCGGAATCTAAAATTCACTCATTGTCTAATCTGAAACTAGTTTCAGTTGCTAAAAATATAGTTCCCTCAATCTCATCAGTTGCTACACTAGCTTCGGCGGTGTCAGTATTTTTGTGCTCATTTTTTCTTTCTTTATGCTTTTCTTTATTTTTCAGTTTATAGCATTTAGAGATATTGTGACCAGATAGATTTAATATCCTTATAAGAGATATTATCTTTTGCATAAAGTATAATATCTCTTATATGCTTAAAAGATGGGGGTAGAGAACAAAGCAGTAACACGGCTTGATCCTCATCTTTAATTTCAGCATCTATATTACTCAAATCCATAAAAATAGAATCAAAGGTGTCAAGATGAGAGAGAATAGAGGTACCTTCACCCATACGAATTGAATAAAGCTTCTGCTTCAGGTAAAGTTTATTTTTCACTGTTCTCTTCATATATAAGGTTTTTAATTTTTTTCATATGCTTTTAGCTGTGATTTCTATAGAAACTTCACTTAAAACCTTATTTGAGAGATTTAAAATGATACCTGCTTTTGCCCTTTTGTCTATGATTGCAAACTTCTCATCCGTCATTTTATCCGACTTCTCCTTTCCTTGTAACGCCAAGTCTAAGTCATCCTGAATTAGGATAGCTTCCATCTTTAATTGCCACATTCCGAAGTTTGCACTTCGATCAAATTTCTCAACATAGGTCTTTGTTAGAGTCATTTTGGCTATTGAAACTAACCCGGTTAGATCCGACTCTGATAATAATTTGTTAGGATCGGAAACCCGGGTAGTGCAGAATATAGCCAAACAACGGTATAATGGCAATAACAAAGACAATGGAAGTTGATAACAACGACACTTAAAGTAGATAAAGAAGACACAAATTTAACGTGGTTCAGTCAAAGTGACCTACGTCCACAAGCGGAGAGGGGCAATTTACTATAACAATAAGAGTACAAAAGATAATACAAAATTAGAGTAAATACTCTAATTAATCCCAAATACCCTAAGGGAATAACCTCACAAGATCACTCCAAAGAAAGGGTTCACACAAGTGCTTCCCAACACTAACTCTCATACAAAACACTCTTAATAAAGGAAGAAAGGAAGAAACAAGGAATGAAGACTCAAGTCTTGTTGGTGTGTTTCCAAATGATTAGAGAGTCCTTATTATATAGGAAGAGAAGAAAGAAATGCTTGGCCAACAATTGGCCACATTCTCTCAAAATATAAGGCCATTTATTTGGCCAACAAGGCCTTAAATAAAAGGCTCCAAATACGCCAACAAAGCTCACAAATAAAAAGCCTAAAAGTAAGGTCAACTTTTACATTTTTTTTTTAATCATATGAAAAGCGTTTGCTTTTTCTAGTATATGACAAATGCTGCAATGTTGACTTCCTAGGCCTACAGCCTACTGCTGTAAGTTTTCAATTTTGTTACCAAATTTTGGTTGTTGCAGGTATACAGAATAGCTCGGATATTTTCAGAAACAGAAAATTGCCTTTGGTTCCTTACTTTATAAACCTTGGAAATGCAACAAGACAATAAGAAAGCATATCTGTCTATCTTCATTAGTTCCTTTACGCTTTGAAACTTTGAAGTTGAAAATGAATCAAAATCTTGGACTTCGTTTTACTTCAAAACAACGCCATATATACAAAATACCACATTTTATGAATTAAATTTTAAGTTGCAGATTTTTTTTCTGGAAGTTGCGTCAAAGATAATGAAGAGCAGGGGACTACATTAAGCTGTTGATGGTTCCAACAAAGGCGAGTAAATTGGACCTTCTCAAAGCCCATAAATGCATGAAAACACCCCATGTCCACCTCTACATCGAAAAGAATAAAAATAATGTGTTAAAGAGATTCCTTAACGTGGTATATTATCGTGTATAATCAATATTTTATATACTGGCTAGAAAAAATAAACGGTGATTCCGGTCGGCTATTTGTGTAAATATCTCACTTGGAGACATCTGATTTTTGATTAATTAAGTAGTTAGTTACGGCATGCTTAGGATGTAGTAATTTATGTACCTTAGCTAGTTAGCTTGTCATGCATAACTGCATAAGGGTGAATTCAAAATATGGAATTACTCAGAAGTATGAACATCAAAACCATGTGATGAAATCCAAACACAATATAAGCTCTAAAAATATTTATATTAACTATTGCTTGATCAATGTACTGTGAAAAAATACTAGGTTACACTCGTTAACAGCGTATTGCAAACCTTCTCCTTAAAAGATATAGTGAACTTCTACTTTTTTTTATTTTTTATTTTGTCTAATATCGGTTTGAGACAAACTTAAAATGGAGCGACATAGTCAAGTGATGATTCACATGATCGGAGTTTTCTAGTTCTGTCAAATTTATATATGCCAGTAAAAAAAGTATAGTGAACTTCTTTTTATTTTATTTTTTATTCTGTCTAATATTGGTTTGAGACAAACTTAAATGGAGCGACATAGTCAAGTGATGATTCATAAGATCGGGCCAACTTGTTGCTGATTGAGACGTACTTATTGTTGTTGTTTTATTGCTTGATCAAAGTTTAAGTTTTCCTTGGTATGCTATATATGTATAATCTTTTTAAAATTTGACAATGCATACTTAGCAACCCTTTAAACTGAGTTTGTATTATATGCAAATTATATTTGCTTTTCTAGCATATGACTTAATGCTGCAACGTTGACTGCCTAGTACTGCTGTATGTTTTCAATTTTGTTACCAAATTTGGTTCATGCAGGTACTCAGAATAGGTCGGATAGTTTCAGAAACAGAACATCTCTTTAAAATGGAAAGTGCCCTGCAATTGGCATTTAATATCCCATCAACATTAGACACACATTGCCTTTGGTTCTTTTCTTTATAAACATCGGCAAAGCAACAGAGAAAATAAGAAGCAATCATCTGTCTACTCTTCATTAGCTCTTTAGTAGTACTTCCTTTTGACTTTGAAGGATGAGTCAAAATCTTGGATTTGGTTTTACTTCAAAACTCAAAGATCTGTTAAGAATGGTCTTCCTTAGATGTTTGCATTTCCTAAATGCAATAGAGTTATGGTTAAATGTTCGTTTGAACAAGGAAACGGAGCAAGAAATGATGAGCCTACAGAAAATGAATCAGCTTCTTACTAATGACCAACTCAACAAAATTGCTGAAGGCATCTCAGTTTTTCTTCCCGGGGTCCTAGAAAATGTACTTTCTAGTACTAAAACTAAATCCTACGAAGGATCTATTCAGCGAAAGCTCTTCGTTGGAAGTCTCGGATGTAATACTACATCCGAGACTTTGCATCGATTTTTCTCAGCCTATGGCGAAGTTGAAGAAGCTGTTGTCATTTTGGATAAATCTGGTGTAAGCAAAGAGTATGGCTTTGTCATTTTCAAGCATGTAAAGAGTGCACTAATGGCACTCAAGGAGCCATACAAGAGGATTAATGGAAAGACGACAATCACAAAGGTTGCTAATTCAGGAGCCAGAGACAGAAATGACGAGTCTTTACGTACAGTTTATGTGGCTAATGTGCCACATAACATGTTACCAGGTAGAGTGTTGGAATATTTTTCCTCTTATGGTGTAATAGAAAAGGGTCCTTTTGGTTTCAATAAAGAAACAGGAAAGTCAAGAGGTTACGCTATTTTTGTGTACAAAACACTAGAAGGGGCTAAAACAGCAATTTATGAACCTATCAAGTGGGTCGATGGACACCATTTAACGTGTGAAATGGCCATCGGGAGGACAAAGAAAAAACCCCGCGTTAGTCTTAACTCGGGGCCATTCAATTTAAATTGCCATTACCAGAATTCAAGATCAATGTTCGGTGGTGGTGGCTCGAGACCAGAGGTGTCACAAGTTGGAGTTCAGTATGCCCAGTTTCAAGGCAACAGGGACATATATGCACAGAATTGTCATTGTGGCCTAGTTTCTAATTGTAACATTCAGGTTCAGGGCTTATCACCAACAGTTATAGGTCGCAACCATATAGGCTCTGGGCTTTGTACTAAGTTGTCTCATGGCGATTACAGTCTTTGGTCCTCGGAATTTCCTAGGCATAATCCAGTATGGTTTTGATGTTTGATCTTCTTTGTCGCGATCAAGTTATCAAGGAGGAACATTCTCTTACAAGCCGGATTGTTTCTTCTAATTGCTATAGTTTGTGTTTTGCTCTCGCATTTTGCCAATAGATATGAATGAAGTAGGTTTATTTAATTAAAATGTACTAGCTAGGTAGTTTTCTTTTGGAATGCTGGGAAGAATCTTGATCAAGAAAACCTCTGCGATCAAGTACTCAAGTTTTAATTAGCATCTTATTAATCCATATTTTTAATTTTTTTTTATGGTACTAGTATTAGTCTCTTGATATATCCGGGGTATAAAGTTGCATCACCGAGTTCATCTGAACTCAGTACTTTCAACGCGGCACATTAATTTATGTGTAAAAATACACTAAAGTTGCAATAACTAATAGGTATATGAACCTATAATTTTAAAAATATAATTGGTTCAACTTTAAAAACATTAAACGTGAGACTTTAAATTTCGAATCCTCTCTCGAAAATATTTGATTACTCATGCTATTGTCTAGGACATAAAGAGAAGCAGGTCCATCTAATCCAGAAGTTGAAAAGGACCAAACATGTCGAATCTATCCCTTTTCATCAGCGGTTATGCTGAAGTGGGAGAAATAAACTAAAAAGATAATAGAAAGTTAGCAAAGCTGTCTGAATAGGTAAAGGGGACAATAACCCTAAAAGCGACTTATGGCCAAAAGTGAAAGATTAGCCAACCCCTCTTTAAACATGGCTATGCTTCACCAGGTTTTGTATATGATCAGATGTGATCAGCTGAAAGTGAAAATTGAATCAACACCAGTATCACTAAATAATCATTTGTTTCATTTTAAGCCAATGAGCATGTCGATATAGTAAAAAATATTCATACCCAATGTTTAAATCAATTAATTAATATAAGAAAAATTTATTTTATACATATTTATTTCTTAATCATAATCAAATAATATGTATTTTTAGTTTTATTTTTAACTAGTATGATTTATTTAATTTGGTATAAATATTTAATGCATGTTGACGTCACAGACTTTTAACTTAATTTATCTTCTTGTAGGCCAAATTTCTTCTTTTAAATCCAAGTGTTTGATACATGAGTGCACACGTTTACAGTCATTGATTTTGACTAATGACTTGGACAACTTGCTCATCGTCAACACAATGTGGAACCACAAGCCAAAACTTTCCTTAAACAGGGAATACACTTCTACAGCCTATATATCTTTTAACCATAAATATTTCGGTTATTAAAAGAGTATGCGTGTTGGCATGTGTCCCCTTTAAAAAGGTAAATTTTTTGTAAGAGATCACATAAATATTATATTAAAAATTATGTTTGAGTTATATCATAAAAATATAAGCTAATTAGTTAATTTATTAAAAAAACATGAATTGCATTCTTTTACTAATTAGTTAATTCCTCAAGTTATATGAATAAAACCTATGAAGAAGAACACTACAAATAAAATTGCATTCACAATCAAGGATAAATAACATAGCTGATAAATGGAGAAACTTTTTAATGGATAATATTAAACAAAAAATTACTTGAATACGTTTATCACGACTAATTATCAGATTTGATCAATCGATTCATTACTTGAATTATTTGGATAAT